CATGTATTATCAGCCTCGCAGTAACAGTGTTGTACAGGTAGTATCAGCCTCGCAGTGACAGTGTTGTACATGTATTATCAGCCTCGCAGTGACAGTGTTGTACAGGTAGTATCAGCCTCGTAGTGACAGTGTTGTACATGTATTATCAGCCTCGCAGTGACAGTGTTGTACAGGTATTACAGCCTCGCAGTGACAGTGTTGTACAGGTATCATCAGCCTCGCAGTGACAGTGTTGTACAGGTATTATCAGCCTCGCAGTGACAGTGTTGTACAGGTAGTGTCAGCCTCGCCGTGTCAGTGTTGTACAGGTAGTATCAGCCTCGCAGTGACAGTGTTGTACAGGTAGTGTCAGCCTCGCAGTGACAGTGTTGTACAGGTATCATCAGCCTCGCAGTGACAGTGTTGTACAGGTATTATCAGCCTCGCAGTGACAGTGTTGTACAGGTAGTATCAGCCTCGTAGTGACAGTGTTGTACATGTATTATCAGCCTCGCAGTAACAGTGTTGTACAGGTAGTATCAGCCTCGCTGTGACAGTGTTGTACAGGTAGTATCAGCCTCGTAGTGACAGTGTTGTACAGGTAGTATCAGCCTCGCAGTGACAGTGTTGTACAGGTAGTATCAGCCTCGCAGTGACAGTGTTGTACAGGTAGTATCAGCCTCGCAGTGACAGTGTTGTACAGGTAGTATCAGCCTCGCAGTGACAGTGTTGTACAGGTAGTATCAGCCTCGCAGTGACAGTGTTGTACAGGTATTATCTGCCTCGCAGTGACAGTGTTGTACAGATAGTATCTGCCTCGCAGTGACAGTGTTGTACAGGTAGTGTCAGCCTCGTAGTGACAGTGTTGTACAGGTAGTATCAGCCTCGCAGTGACAGTGTTGTACAGGTAGTATCAGCCTCGCAGTGACAGTGTTGTACAGGTATTATCTGCCTCGCAGTGACAGTGTTGTACAGGTAGTATCTGCCTCGCAGTGACAGTGTTGTACAGGTAGTATCAGCCTCGTAGTGACAGTGTTGTACTGGTAGTATCTGCCTCGCAGTGACAGTGTTGTACAGGTAGTATCAGCCTCGTAGTGACAGTGTTGTACAGGTAGTATCAGCCTCGCAGTGACAGTGTTGTACAGGTAGTATCAGCCTCGCAGTGACAGTGTTGTACAGGTATTATCTGCCTCGCAGTGACAGTGTTGTACAGGTAGTATCTGCCTCGCAGTGACAGTGTTGTACAGGTAGTATCAGCCTCGTAGTGACAGTGTTGTACAGGTAGTATCTGCCTCGCAGTGACAGTGTTGTACAGGTAGTATCAGCCTCGCAGTGACAGTGTTGTACAGGTAGTATCAGCCTCGCAGTGACAGTGTTGTACAGGTAGTGTCAGCCTCGTAGTGACAGTGTTGTACAGGTAGTGTCAGCCTCGTAGTGACAGTGTTGTACAGGTAGTGTCAGCCTCGCAGTGACAGTGTTATACAGGTAGTATCAGCATCGCAGTGACAGTGTTGTACAGGTAGTATCAGTCTTGTATTGACAGTGTTGTACAGGTAGTGTCAGCCTCGCAGTGACAGTGTTGTACAGGTAGTATCAGTCTTGCAGTGACAGTGTTGAAAACGTCAGTGTTTAATTTATTCATTAGCAGATACTGTCTGCCTACCTTGCTGTTGTATGGCAGATCCACATTACCCTGTATATAAAGTATGATGCAGCTAATGAACTACCTCCCTTCTGTCATTTACCTGATGATGTGCCGACTGTTCCTGTTCCCCCACAGTAATGTTGTGCTGCGGCACCAACTGTGGAGGAAGCATTTCCGAAGTCACTGCATCATATTAACTAACATCTGTTTTCCGGATGATACTGGTATGTTTGCAAATACTGCCATCAACAGCCCGATCGTTGCCATTTCCTCAAAGTGGTTTGTGTGTGTGTCTTGCTTGACGCTGCACTCAGCAATATTCCAGCTATATGACATCGGTCTGTAAATATCTGGAGTCTGTACCACACAAACCACAAATAATCACGCGCCTCGATCTCCGCAATGGGAATACGATAACATGCATCAAGCCTGACTCCCCGATTCCTTTAGTCGCCTCTTACGACAAGCATAGGTTGCCTCGTCTGACAAGCACTCATTTTCTCAAAGCTTGACCGTCTTAATGTCTTACAATATTACTTCAAGACCTCAACGCAAATAAAGAATATTTATCTATGACTAAACAATTCCCTCGGTCTCAGAATTATTTTCTTTTACAGATTTGATTTAAAACGCATCTTTGTCAAAACGCATGGTTATTCTTATAGCGGCATATTAGAAACGAATCATAGCTTTCTTTACCTCAATGTATGATTGCTGGGCAAAAGGTTCTAACTAACTCTCACCTTTGGGCCATAACAAGTAAACACGTCTATGTAGTACACTGATTGAGTAGTTCATTGCACGTATATTTGGTCTGTTGTGGCCGTTTCTATATTAGTGACAGCAAGTTGAAAGTGATATGGTCCAAATTGACACAGAAACGGAAAGAACGAGTTTCTGACTGCAGATAAATGTTTTCTCCAAGATATTCACAAATGTATGGGGATAAGTGCCCTAGCTATTCCACTGGTTAACGTTGGACAGCTGCAGCTGTGTTGAAGGATGGGAGAACAAGTCTTGACAAGAACCCGAGGTATGGACGTCCTTCAACTTCCATCAATGAAGATTCAATCAAAGAGATAGACGTATTACCATTGCCGAACTTACATTGTAAAATACCTAGGTTACGTGATTTCTGGATAGGGTATCAAAACAGAACCAGATGTCGATGATATCAATCGATTTCGTGGATTCTCTTGATACTTAAGACGTTTTGTATATCATCAATAAGTTTCATGACTACTTGTACGGCAACTCATTCACTGTACAGACTGGCAACACTACCCTCACTTATGCCCTCGATTCCACTGAGTTTGATGCAAACGGGCATCACTGGCACGCATAACTTGCCACCTATGACTTCTCGCTTGAGTATGTAGGAATGACGATGGAGAATGTAAAGTAATTTACTAATCTCATCAAGTGCTGTTGAGACGCTATTCCACCTCCGTGGTATAATGGTAGAGCGTCCGCCCAGAGAGCGGAAGGCCAGGGGTTCGATCCCCGGCCACGTGATACCAAAAGAGGTCAAAAGATAGTTCTTGTTTTCTTGTCTGATGCTCAGCATTAAGGGGCTAAAAACAAGGACAGGTCAGCTCGGAGTAAGTATAGTGTGTCTGAGTGGGGTATTCATGTAAAACTGCGGCATGGTACCTCAGTGGGATTGAACTATAAATCGGCATCAGTCCAGACTTATACAAGCAGCCCCCAAAACACATGTATGCACATTGCTATATAAGTGCAATTATCTTTGACGCGATAAAAAAACCCACCTCACTTGACCTCACTTTCCCTAAGTGGGGAGGTGATAATTTGCAGTTGATGGTATGGCACCCCTGACATGATCCCTCAATTTTTTCGAATTTTATATACACGCCCACCCTGGAGGTTCTAACATTGGATCTGGATCTGCATCTATTCTCCGCCAATAGGACTCGCTCTTCCAAGGCAAAAAACTTACATATGTTGTAGCACCCTACTATCAACCGAGTCTGGAAGATATGATAAATCTATATGTGACAGCATATTAGTGGACATGTATATAGCATATGTTGGACAGGACAATGGCTTTATTTAAGACATGTTTTTACTGGCGGGGAATGATAAAAGGTGTGGAAAAAAATATTAGCAGCTGCCAGAGGTATATTCTTCGGAAAGCTCCAAACTGAACTGAGCATGCACCTTTAGTTAGCATCGAAACCACTCAACCTATGGAGATGGTGTTCATCGCCTGACTCAGCTTGGAGCCCTTCTCTTGTGGTTATGGTGAGGTGAAACGGGGTTGAGTATCTCGTCAAAGTGTGGTTATGGGAATTCCCTCGTTATTACATATCATTTCAATAAATATGCCTTTGCCATCCCCACTGACAACAACACGGCACATACTACAGTCAAAGTACTGTTTGATCACATCAATGTTCACTGCAGCATTCCAAAGAATTCGCACTCTGATCAATGCTGAAACCGTAAGGTGATATCCCCAAACAGTTGTGCTGCATATTGGGCATACTGGGACTACTATATAGCATGATGGGTAATGGAAAATGCAAGCGGTTTACGGACTAAGATGCTCGGTACTCGGGAGAAGCAGCAAAAGGCAAAGACGAAAGATCATCTTTCTCACTTATTGTATGCCTATAACTGTTCACTCCCTACTTACTCATGTCTGGCAGATATCATAGGCTGCCTGTTGACGCTGCATTTGGTACAACACTGGCCAATATTTCATCACCAGCTAATAACCACTTTTTGCGGCTCTAGTGAGGAAATTGCATACTGCATAATCGGTTGAAAGAGGAGTATTACATGACATATTCTGAACTTCAAAATCTGCCCCATGTTTTGACTAGACGCCCAGTGGCTGGACATAACGTACCACGCCTGGCTACACATATCTTTTCATAATAGCCAAAACAAGAGAGACCAACCATGCATTGTCAAAGAGTCCCCCATTACAACCCTTCTCTCTGGATATTGGTTTACAGTAACCACAGTTAAATCGTACACTTGAAACCTCTACCTAACCGCGTTGGTTTAAAATGAGCTTGCAGTCAATATGTATCAACAATATTGGAGGAAAATAACAAACGTAACCATTTATAGCATGGGTAATTAATTATCTCGATAATAGAGGATTTGTCATTGAAATTGGAAACATATTGGTCATAATATCACCATGGAATAGCCTATCACTGACCCTAATTCAATCATATACATGATACGAAGAGTCTCAAATGGATTTATCAGCCTATTTCTCTGAAAAGAGCAAGAACAAGGATAAACAGTGCATAGAATGTGACATTTATGAATTAAAAGCAAAGATGAAAGGAATGCCAAACTTTATTCAAAGCTGATTACATATCATTCTTTGCGTGGATATCTGGTTTCAAGGTCTGAAACTATTAGTGGACTGTTATATATAATCCCTTACTGTAGGGCCACAAAGGAAACTACATCTTTTCACTGACACCCTCCCCTGTACGGAGCAAGGTTCTGGATTCGAATGATTTCAAGGTCAAAGGTATCGGGTGCATGCAAGGTTTCTGCTATCGCCTCCATTTTCTGAGGGCCAACTGGCGCGAAGTGCATCAACTGAAATGTGACCAAAAAGGAGTCATTGCAAACGTGTCCTTGAGGACGATAACCATCACAATTGCTACAACAAACTATAGTGGGTGAGATAATTCGGTGTAACACACCATTTAACATTATTTATTTATAAGAATGGTGTGTCAGCCTGATGTAGGGGGGAAGTCAGAAGTGATGCATGAAAAGACATACCACTTAGCACAAGGAATGATAAGACAAACCTAGAAACAAAATCAGGGGATTAATGACTTGTGCAAGAAGGTTTACCTCAACTGGAAGGCTTGCTAGAGTCCTGAAACATGCCGCCCGTTGACCTGCTTTCAGAACGCCCACGTCTCTCTCAAACATCTGTGTCATCTTCTCGTCAAACTCAGCTGTTGTTAAATCTGAAATGTAAGTATGAATTGGATAAAATACATGGGTCTGGAATAGGAACTTTGGGATTTTATTCACAAAGCGTGCACAGGACTTTGCATTGTTATCCTTCGTGGGAAGCTACCTAATTCCAATTATATTTGCCACCCTTGACTGTTCTTTACTTCAACCATCATCCTCGTCACCAGATGCTACAGCAAGTTAGTATTGGACATCCGGGAATGGCTTAGGAACTAATTAAAATTCGATGCTTAGGGGCTTTGAAGATTCGTACCACAAAGTCCAGAATGTCAGCTATTTTTGAAAGCTTATACTCGCTAGAAAAGCTGCTGTGTTTATCCCTCCTTTAAATCAACATGCACAGTAGCTGGAGTTAGCCCATGTGATGCTGTATGTTTAGTGACTGTTGCGCTAACCATATATGATAATACTTACTTGTAACTAGATGATATTACTAACTTGTAATTATATGATAATACTTACATGTAACGATCTATGTGTAAGCGCTTAACTGCCAGACATACCTCTGACATGAAATATTTGCTTGCCAAGAAGTAAGTCCTCATCATCCTTGAGAGACATATCATAAAAGTCTCTGGTTATATTGACCCCAAGTTCCCGGGCGTAGTCACTGCAGCGGTACACTGGGGTTACCTTCACCTCATAGCCCTTTCGTGACAGAAAGCTTGTCAACTGTGGCCAGCTGCAAGCTTTCTCAACACCAAGAACTGAAATTAACAGATATTTGTTTTCTCATTAAATAAACAAGTGGGAGAAACATGTTATTTGACAAGAAAGCACAGATGTTCTATTTATTTTTTATTTCATTACTAATATGATGAATATTAGTAAGGAAATAAAAATATACATAGAACAAAGAATAAATAAAAAGCCTTTGTGTTTTTTTAAGCTGACTGCAGTTCCGGCATGAAGTTATATTTCACTCAAGAGAGAAACCATTTTTTTAGACAAATGTAATATTTCATCACTGACTACAAAATAATGGGCATGCACAGACAAGGATACCTCATCTTTGGATGATGAAAGAACAAAATCATATGTCCTACATGATTGATATAGATTTAGGCGTTGCTATATAGTTTCATAATACAGCAACATATTCTTTTCTGTGAATACCTTTTGAGAAAAAATAACGTGTGTCTTACAGCAAGTTTGTTATGAAGAAACATAAACAAATAGTTCATAATTAAACTTACCAAATATTATCCTTGAGTTCCCGAGTTCCTGTTTAACATAGTGCAATTAATTAATATGTGCGTGTAAATGATTGAAGCGGGAGATTGAATATTGAACACTATTTCACCAAACAGCGACCGCTCAATCAAATAAAGACGTTTGCTATGACAAGCAGCATGGTTGTTCGTCTAAGATTAGCAGAATGCTTTGTTGCAACCAATAAGAAAATATTGATGACAACGTGGCCAAGGGTATACACAGTCATGGCATGGTAACTTGCAATCTACAAAGCCACGAAGTCTGGCAACCCACATCATTAAGTATTAACATTAAGTCGCCTATTATGGCAAGCAACCCGTTATGAAAAGGTGAAGCAACGTGAGTCTGTGCAGTACAAAACGGTGATCCAACGTGAGTGTGCAGTACAAAACGGTGATGCAACGTGAGTCTGTGCAGTTCAAAACGGCGAAGCAACGTGAGTCTGTGCAGTACAAAACGGTGATGCAAGGTGAGTCTGTGCAGTACAAAACGGTGAAGCAACATGAGTCTGAGCAGTACAAAACGGTGATGCAACGTGAGTCTGTGCAGTAAAAAAAGGTGAAGCAACGTCAGTGTGTGCAGTACAAAACGGTGATGGAAGGTGAGTCTGTGCAGTACAAAACGGTGATGCAACGTGAGTCTGAGCAGTACAAAACGGTGATGCACCCGTGAGTCTGTGCAGTACAAAACGGTGAAGCAACGTGAGTCTTTGCAGTACAAAACGGTGAAGCAACGTGAGTCCGTGCATTACAAAACGACGATGCAACGTGAGTCTGTGCAGTACAAAACGGTGATGCAACGTGAGTCTGTGCAGTTCAAAACGGCGATGCAACGTGAGTCTGTGCAGTACAAAACGGTGATGCAACGTGAGCCTGTGCAGTACAAAACGGCGATGCGACGTGAGTCTGTGCCGTACAAAACGGTGATATAACGTGAGTGTGCAGTACAAAACGACGATGCAACGTGAGTCTGTGCAGTTCAAAACGGCGAAGCAACGTGAGTCTGTGCAGTACAAAACGGTGATGCAACGTGAGCCTGTGCAGTACAAAACGGCGATGCGACGTGAGTCTGTGCCGTACAAAACGGTGATATAACGTGAGTGTGCAGTACAAAACGACGATGCAACGTGAGTCTGTGCAGTACAAAACGGTAATGAAAACAATTTCGCTAACCTTAAATGAAAATAAAACTTTGATGTCAGTGAGACCCTCCACTGTTGTCTTAATCTGCAGTATATCTGCCGTCTCATCCCTCCCCTCCTTAGGAGGAAGGGTGATGTCAACTCTGTACAGAAGGGCGTCTTTATCATCATCGGAGCCGAGAACCGACCCGGGGAGACACGACAGGGTCAGGAGACCAACGAGGAAAATGAACATTGTTGTAATCGTTCTGCCCTCCACTTCTGGCTGCGGACAAATACAAGTTTGTTTTCTGACATCAGTTGGTTGCCGGCCCCAGACTTAATGATTTAAACAGCGGTGTCAAATAACTGGAATATTGCGGAGTGTGGTACAAAATACACCAACAGAAAAACACGGAGCCTTTGCGTTCGAATACTGCGAGGTTTGATTTCAAGTTACCAAGGACACAGAAGCTGCATGTGGACTTTTGGTCGAACATTATGTCAGGGATTGTCTATGAGTGTTAATAAAATAATATCACCAGGATTGGCCTTGACACATATTGATTATTGAATACATCAACAGTTATTAGTCATCAGCTCACAACCATCCAACAGGTGTGAATGGTGACGAGAATCAGTCAAGCAGCAACCAAGTTTACTCGGCTTACTGCTTGTGTATGATCTGAAACACGCTGTCAGTGACCCCCGTGTGGTAAGGGATAGTTGTCAAGTTGAATCTCCTAAACTGTTACAGTGCATAAACTATCGAAATGTATCCATGATTTACAGATCGCGATGCTGTGGCCTTTGCATGTACTTGTCGTCAGTAGGTGGTCACAGTTTGAACAGAATATTTATATCATGTCATATTCTGTACGTAAAGGAATCTTGACCAGTACTAATATTTCAGCACGTCCACACATTATAACATTATGCTGTAGAATAACTGAAACCGACGCTAGGCCACAATACGGCCCCATGCCGGTCTCTGCCACGTGCATGAGGTAGCAGCAGGACTGCCACAGTAAATGGAAAGGTATAAGAAACATTTGCTATGGGCTTTCAGAGTATTCTATGGTCATATTTGAACATGACGAAGTATTTGAGCGAAGATGTCTTTCGAACAAGATAAAGGTAAACATAGTTTAAATTGTTAGAGGCGATTAAATATTTCGTGTTCAGGCTCGTTGACTTGATCAAATGTCATAACCCATTTGCGTTGGTCGATGCTCATAATGTCAATCATTAGATTGTCTGGTCTAGATTCAACTATTTACAGACCTCTGTCATATAACGGGAATATTTCTGATAGCAGCGTTAAAAAAAAACAAACGTAATATCTTCCAGACCAGGTCGGCCACTAAGCATGACGATAATTCGCATAAACTACTCCATATAAACGCGTTAAAGACGTGCACAGTCAAAGGAACATTGTGAATTCCCGTTGCATTTCACATAATGACAGGTACCAAAGCATAATGCACAGGGGTCACAAATGTCACATAACAACACAATAAACGTCGACTGTGGACTTAATTTTCTGTGAACTGCTAGACGCCTAGTTTCAAAGCCTAGTGTTACAGCCAGTTATGTAGTATCAAGTTGGTATGTATGTATCAATCTGAAATGCAAGTATTACTGGCAAAAATGTATTCATGTTTTCTCCGATCCTGACTCAGTGTTTCTCTTTTGTGAAGTCCAATAATTAAAATACATGCAATATGGAAATGAAGTAAATATATCTCTCGGAAACAGAAAAGGTGTTTGGGTAACCAGTTCAAGTATAGAAACTATTTTAAAATTGTCCATTGTTGATACTTTTATCTACGATGATACCTCACGCTTATGACTGCTATCATGAGGGAAATTCTCATTCGGTATGGAAAACCTGTTGGTCCGTAATGTAATTTGTGGTATGTCCATGGGTGTGGTAACAGTGCTACACATCTTATAAACTCTAACGTGGACTTTATTATTTTATTATATATATGTATGGAATGGACCAGGCGTCATACAAAGTCCTGTGGGATATCTGTCCATATCTACTGGAGCATGTTTCGATGTTCCTGGAGTGTCTGTGGAACACGTGGTTGACGTCGAAGGCGCCGATCCATCTCATCCCACATGTGCTCGATTGGTGAGAGATCAGGGGAGCGAGCCGGCCAGGGAATGACATTCATGTTGTTTTGTTGAAAAGATTCCTGAACAAGTCGAGCAATATGAGGCCGTGCGTTGTCATGTTGAAAGGTAATGCCTGGGCCATGACGACGCAAAAACGGTAGAACAACAGGGCCGATGATCTCGTCGCGGTAGCGCTGTACACTGAGATTGCCCTCTACCACTATCAGCACCCCATACCATAACGCTGCCGCCACCGAACTTATCTTCTTCCATGACACAATGATTGACGTAACGTTCACCTCGACGTCGGTACACTCGAATCAGTCCATCGCCGTGCCTAAGGTGAAAGCGAGACCTGTAAGTGAATAGAACTTGTCCCCACTGCATTGCCATCCAGGGTAGACGCCTGCTGTTCCGAGGATGGTCTCTGACTGCATTCGTCTGTTGCAAACGTTGTCATAAACACAAAACAGTGTTTCTGTGAACGTTAATTTGTCTTGCAACATCACGTTGACTTGATCCTACTTCAAGCGTACCAATGGCTCGCGGACGCTCATTTTCCGACTGGCTTGGCATTTCGTAATGTTGAATGATTGCGTAACTTTGTTGTTTTTCTGAGTGGTTTTTGTCAGCACGATGCTTAACAATGGATATGGAATCCCGTTAACGCACATGTTTTCATATCTATTCTTGGGGTGTGAAATGCATGGGCTTGCATAAAAGTCAACTTTTGCATGGAATGCGTGCTTTTTTGTGACTTGATTCCATACATGTACTACAATATTGAAAACCAAACTTTACTTGGTTGAAAAATACACAAAACATTTGGTGTCACAGGAACTTTTTTTATCGAGTATATGTTTGCAGAAAACGTTTATTGAATGAAACTTACTGATCAATATAAAATAGACATTTTTAACACAATAATCTTTGAATTTTGCATCCAATAAGCCGATTTGAAAATATTTTGGTCTTTTCAATATTAAAGTGTACATCTACCCGTTTTTTTGTTTAAAAAAATATATATACTTGAGATCATTCAGACAATAAAATCGTTGTTACGCATAGTTTCAACGGACAAATACTTGTAAATGATCCTCAGCATCAAGCTATGTTTTGGAATAGACTTGACACATTAACAATGTATTTCGCTCCTCAGACAGATTTATATGAAATCAGACATATCAGTTTATTAGCTCTTCTTCATTTAAAATGATAGAAAAGGACGAACGAAAATTAGTGTCACTTTTA